ACAGCACCCTGCTCAGTCCGTATGCTGATGTCCAGGTGACACGAAACCACTTGAAGGCACAGAAGAACAAGGTCACACAACCACGGGGCTACGTGGGAATTCCATCCCAAATCTGGCCCCAAATTCTGCTCAATGTACTATAAATTGTGTGGGCAAAAATAACACTTATAAATAATTTTAATCCCTGGATTACTCAGTATTTACTGCTGTAATAAACAGATTTTATTACATAAACTTCAACATGTCATAAAGTACGTTCTTAGTCAATCTGTCAAGAGTTCACAGGTGAGCTGTTTCAATTAAACAGACGTTGCCTGCATGGGTTAAATAAACTACTATAGGAAGGAAAATACATATAAAACTAAGTCAGTATCTGCAAACTGAGAACATTTCAAATATTCTTTCTTAAAGAGAAAAGTGGCAAGGCTTTTTTCATGTGTTTCATTACCCTACACGAATGTGTTCATCCAACAGGCCTGACTGCAGCATTCCCTTTGCCTGGCATTTGTTTCTGTAAACCCGTAACAACAAACAAGGCTATCACTTAACTAGATATGTCATGATGATGTTAGTTGCTCAGTTTCAATTCAACATTTTTGGAAACAAAATATATTACCTTCAGAGGCCTGCACACGCCCTCAGTGATATGCCCAACAACTTCTTGAATATTTTCTTCAACACCTAAAATTATTATTTTTTTGATTAGATTTTTTTCTCATATTATTCCTTATTTCACTTAAGTTCAAATAACTACAAACAATAGGGCATGTGGTTACTTGGACTATTAACAAACAGTTAAAAGAACATTTTATACTTAGTTCAGTACCTATTCAGATATTTCACATTTGTGGTATAGGAGCCCTATGGCATAATGGTTATGCACTGGACTGTTAACCAAAAGGTCAACAGTTCGAAACTATCAGACATGGTCCCCAGGAGAAAGTTTTCTACTCCAGGAGCGATGTAAAAGGAATCTAGTAATACTAGGTCACAGTTTCCTCTTCACCTCTTATCAAAATGATTAACCCTTCAAACTCCATAAGAGGCATTTAAAGGCAGTTGCAACTAAGAAGATTTGAAACTGTGTCAACAATGGACATAATTCTAAACAATACTAAGTGGCATTTCATGAAATCAAGATCCACGTTTGAGTACATTTGATAAGCAAGGTGATTATTTTCACAGAATGCTAAAATAGTCACATAAGCAAGGGTGAAAATAGGTTGGGTAGCAGAACTGCAAAAAAAAAAAAAAGTAGCTTAAAGGCCTAAAGCTAACTATTCAGCCTCCAAAAAAAACCACTGCCACAGAATCACTTCTAAGTCACAGAGACCCTAAAGGCCGGTGTAGAACAGCCCCTTTGGGACTCCGAGACTGAATCTTTGTGGGAGTAGAGAGCCTCATCTCTCTCCTTCAGAGCAGCTGGTGGGTTCAAACTACTGACCTGGAAGTTAGCAGCCCAACTCGAAACCCACCAGGCCAGCAGGGCTCCTTTCACCCACTCAGTCTCAGTTTCAGTAAGTAAGAAGCAGACGATGTCATCTTATACCTGCCAATCTACTTGCGAAACATTTGCCAGGGAAAACCCTAAGGCGCATGCTTCTACTCCAATATGCACGGGATTACTATTGGACGAATTAACAGCAGCAAGAGGTTGTTTTATAAAGCTGTAAACAGTTGAGCAATAGAGTGAACTAGGCTTTATGAAGGAGAAATACTCTTAGCAGAGTAATTAGGGTGCTCAGTGTACCATCCAGACGGAGGATGCTCTTCTCGGTGATGACGGTGGCACTAAGAAGTGAAACTGAGAAGCTGTGTGTTGTTGGCCATATTTAATTTTTGGCAATAACCAACCTTCTGGCTTACCTTGTGCAGTCACAAGCTTTAAAAGAGCTTCAAGATGTTCCTTTTCAGAAGCAGTAGCTTGGTGGAGCCACGCTAGCATATCTCCAACATACCTAAGTAACATGGGATGTTAATAAAGACATCCTTCAGGAAAACATGGACTACGATATCGTTCTCTGAGTACTATACCTCAAAGGGTCATGGGAGTGCATTTCAATGGGCCTGGGTGTTCCTCCCGGGCCCCCTCTTGTCAGAGCATCAATAAAACCACGAACAACTGTACTTCTTCGGGCTGTTCCAAATTCATCCAACGTATACCTAGAACAAACAAGGGCTGTGAAGAACAGTTGCTTCTTTCTACCGTTATATTACACTGTTTGTGGAGTTTGAGGTAAGAAAGACATTGTAAAGCCTTACTTAAGCACTCTCTCAAGCAATGTTGTTTTTAAAAGGTAAAGTACACTTGGAGGGTAATTCTGAAAATTCAGTTGAAAGGTAGATATTTTCACTCGTCACTGGAAAGAATGTTGGGATCCCGGTGGGAAACGGGGGAAAGGAGGGCAGTGGAGGGAAGGGGAAGGGTAGTGGATCTGGACCAAGTAAACTATCAAACCAAGGTGGACATCCTGGGTTCTTCAGCCATCAATGTACTTGTAGTCAGAATGCGCTAACCTACTATTTAACCTGGTGGCCTAGTGGACTATGCACTGAACTGCTAGCTTACAAGGTCACTGGTTCTAGTACACTAGCTACTCCATGGAAGATGAGACTGTCTGCTCCTGTAAAGATGAAGAAATCCGCAGGGAGCAGTTCTATTCTATCCAACACAGCGGTGGCTCTGATTCAGAGCCGACTGGTGGCAGAGTTTTGAGTTTACACTTAAACATAAGGGCACCATGTCTACTTCTCAGAGACTACTTATGATCAGAACCCTGCAACTGAAATAATATGACTTTTCCAATGATCACCTCTATTCTTTCCTCTCAATGGAAAGCTCTTGTTTTTTTAAATCAATTTATTGGGGCTCATACAATTCATCACAATACATAGATCAATTGTGTAAAGCACATCTATACATTTGTTGCCCTCATCATTCCCAAA